AATGTGTAAAAACCGCGAATAGATGAATCGGTGCACTGTAGGTGAAGATGTCTATGATGACTAAATACATCGCGCAGTCTACTACAGTGACTGTAGCTCCATCCATCCTGATGTTGATACAACCAATCACATTTTTACACAGATGGAGTGGATCCGACAAAGCAAAGGGAGACCGGAATAGCCATTTCTGGCCTGTTAGCCGTCATCAGCCAGTCATACCCAATCTCAAGGGTTGGAAGCCCCGCGATTCGAACCCGAGGCTTTTGGTCATTGAGTTTGCCACCTTACCATTGCACCACGGGCTCGTTGATTTGTCGGTTGATGGATAATTCTGACTTACAGAAATTCGTCCAAGAATGCCTGCCACTAAAAGTGGTTACCGCGAGAGTAAATGACCTTCAACTGCCAGCAAATACACTCTTCCGGGAGCGAAAAAGCTATCAGCATAAAGAGCTTCCGCCAAAATGTCGAAATCAGGAGACGCTTCTAATTCAATATCTCTACAGAAATATTCTTCACATGAGGAGGTAAATTTACAAAAATAAAATAAGAAAGACCAGGCACCCGTTAATAAGCAAACGCAGATAGGTTTCAACAAAAGGCGGTCAGATGCTTTCTTAATAGCTTCAGTTGAGCTAATGAAAGGTCACTGATCAAATTCCTAAAGTAATCAAGCGGCCGACTCCTGAAACACTTGACCCCTTTAACCGCTGAGTTGAGGGCAAGATACTGTTATCAAGTTACGCCGGAACTCCGATTTTAATTAGCCCCGATCCAGAAAGCAGGCAGCCGTGGACATCACAAAGAACTGTGTGGCAGGAAAATACATTCCTCGGGAAGCCGCAAACATCGAACATGTGAGACGGCACAAGAGGTCCAACGTCAAACATGGCTAGTCAGTGGCCCACCTCTTGTTTGAACCAGGATGATCCTTTGCCTTTTGGCTGTCCATCAGAATTTTCTGTGTAATCGACCATGTTGCGTGTGTTGACCAGGTGTGTGCGACCTTTTGAATAAAAGCCCAGGG